TAAGTACAAGAATGAAGACACTACCAAATGACTATCAAAACTCAGCTCCAGTTATTTCTTGGACAGCACAAGCAAGAACCTCAAACACGTAGAGAAGGTATGCAGCAAATATGGGCCCGGTACACCTATGTGGCTTGTTGCAATCTTGCATATGGCATTTGATAATTGCACATAGATATGAGTTCATGACTGTTCAGAGAACACTTTTAAACCAATATCAGAAAAAAAAAAAAATCAGTGATTTATGCCGAAATATTTTGCGAAAGCTATCTAAAATAAGTTTTGTGTACTTATACACATGAAATATGCCTTCCATCAAGTCTCTCTGGTAATATGTTGTAGCGTATGAAAGGATCTGTATGTATACCCAGTACAAAGCACTAATGTATGAAAATAGCCATATAAATTATGATTTTGGTTTTATATTTTGGTTTGGCTCAAACTGTTGGTACATTTCAGCATCGGCAAATCTGATCTGATTTTAAAGGTTGTTTTCTGCTGAAAATAGTACTTCAATGTGAGGGGCATCAATAAGTCTGATCTTTGAACTTCGGAGATATAGGCGAGATACCAATTATTTCATGTTGAAGATGATAGTACACAGTAATACCCGCTCCGAAATAAAAACTATAAGGAATTTTAAACTTGTTCTTGTACACACACTTTCTCTAGTGTTGAAAGAGCTACTGCATCCTTTTTGTGTGGTTCTGATAAAAAATATTATGTGTCGACGTTACCGTAGGTTATAGGTACCATAAATATGTTAATATCCAACCACACCTAGGTGTCTGATGATTTTTTATGCACTTCTCAGTAAAGATAATGGGTGAAAATGACTAAACACCAACTTTACACTCCCTATGAAAAGTATTACTTTGTAAATCATTAAAGAAAATGGCCTGATAGGAAGACCTAAAATACATCTTATTCCTTTATATAAAAAGTCAATGCCCATCTCCCCCATGTGGAGCATGGAAAAAATTGAACTACTTTGGTGTCTCGAATTCCATGTACTTCATCAACATGCTTCTATAATTCCCAAAATTGAACTGTCATGTTGTATTCATATTAGATCTTTATAACTAGTATGATTTTGCACTGTTATTCCCATCCACAGTTCTCAATTTCTTCAAAATCAGATTTTCAAATAGAAGAAAAAAAAAAAAAGTTTTATCATGTCTATATTAGTTTTTATGATTGATGCATTTATTAAACTTTTTAGACAGAAATATCTTCTTTTATATCCAGAAAACAAACAAACAAACAAAACAAAGAAACATAGGTCCCTATTGAAAATAATAACTTTAATTGGACTGGTAATCATTACATCACAAAGTACACTAAATAAACTTTTTTTCATATAGATATAACATCATTAGGTTTAGCGAAAAATAACAGATAATGAACTTTGGCAAGCATCCAAATTCCCAACAGTTTCTCTCTGAATTTTGATACAAAAGCTTCGGTATATCCCAGCAGTCATAGTTGTGCGATTCAAATGCAGTCTGTTGCTTTCCCTAGGTCATCAGTGCTGAGGACATTAAAAGCCAATTTTTGAATTTTGGAATAAATCTAAAAATAAAGATTAATTAATGCTGAAAAATTAGTAGTCCCTATGTCAATCAGTCCTCCCCAAAAAAACAAAGGAAAATTTTAAAAATTCTATTTACACAGCCTTAGCATAGGATAGATCTACCACAAGAAAATTTCTTAGGTAAATCAGGGAAAAATTACAACTGCTTGGATGTACTAAAGAGGATCATTTTTTTTTTTTTATCTTACTTTTTGGGGGCAAGGTTAAAATGATATGAGACAAAGTGCTATCATATACTTTATAATATGCAAAAACAATCCATGAATTATCTCCAACCAATATTTTTTTTTATGATGAAATGAGTATAGCAAGGTATGCATTTACAGGTATGGTCCCCTTTACTATTTTTTCTTATCAATCTTAAGGAATTATAAGCACAAATGAATGATATGTTAAGATGTACTTATTACCTTAGTTGATAAAGAAAAATATATGAACCTACATTATGGCATGACCACTTTAAACTATCAAAATATATTGGGTGAAACCAAATGAAAAAACATGATCACAAAATAACCTTACCTATAGTTTCCAACCAAATTATCCAAATGAGGAGATACAAGCAATTGTTCTGCTAAGGTAACTATAATTCTGTCAATCTGCCTCTCTGGCACTCCCCTGAGACGTGCAAACATGCGGAGAGCTTCTCTTCCTGTCATCTGATCCAGAATGGCATCAAACTGAGGGCAGTATCCTACTTGCTGCTGTACCTGTAAGTATAACTCTGATAGTATGCATATGACAAAGTTCTATTTTTCTTAATCATCCAAGACTGAAAATTAATTTCTAGCAAAAGGCAAAATCTTCATATAACTGTTAAATGAAATACCAGAAAACGAAAGCAAAAATAAAGTAAACTGTAAGGTCACCCATAAATGTTGTCCATAAATTGTGCAGAAACTATCTACTGTTATGAGTCTGCTACTGAATGTTACAAACCATTTTTATCCATGGGACACAGAAGCCAAAAATACATACCATGTCCACTGTGATTTCAGTTTATCAATTATTTTTATATGGAGATAGCTCAACCAGTGCTCAGCCACCAAGGAGTCAATTATTAGTTCTACCTATCTAAACTGTTTACCCTTTTCTTTGATCTTGGGAAGATAAAAAAGTACTATTTTTATTGCTTTTTGTATTTATTACCATTGTAATAACTATCATGTCGATAATAATAATCACATTAAAATAATAGATGTCAATAGCACTACAATAATAATAATAATAAATCCTGCACAGTCAAGTAATGGGGAATCAGGCCTTTGTAGCTGAGCACTTGTAGAGCAACAAAATACAGACAAAAAAATGAATTGGACAGTGCATAATCCTGCAGCCAAAATACAAACATACCTTCTTCAAGTCTGACTTGATGCTGTATCCATTGACAAATGCATTACCAGAGGATACTTGTAAATCACCAGTCAACATTTTGAAAGTTGTGGTTTTGCCTGCTCCATTGATTCCAAGGAGGCCAAAGCATTCCCCTAAAGGTACTCCTAAATTAAGATGATCCACAGCCATAAAATCCCCTGAGTAAGTCTTGCTAAGGTCACTGTAGAGAAAAGATTATGATGATATTATAGGCTACAGAGTATATAAAAAGGTAAAGAAGAATATACAAGTAACAGCGCACTGTATAAAAATATAAACTAGAAGCTCCCTACCTAAAAATAAGTTTATCAGTATCATGTAACTGAGAAAGAGGTGTGTTCCTGATGCGCAATCGTTCATTCACCACATCTTTATCTTCTTGCATTAGTGGATCAGACTCTTTTTCAACATCTGTGGGAGATTTTCATGATTCCACAATTCCTATTTCATCAGCAGCATTAAGCAACAATGAAAATTCAAGATTCTTTCAGTATTCAACAACTTTTTATCTTTGATGATTACAGAAATATAATCAAAGTAACTTGCTCACTTGCAACTTACCCTCTGTGGGTCTGACTGATACTTTGCCCCACAAACGACTGGCTGAGTACCTAACCTTCTGGAAAACTTTGAGTTCAATCAGAGCAATGATAAAATAGAAGACTAGGCCCTCCAAGCCCATGAAAACAAGCATGCGTCCAATGCCAAGTTTCTCCCATCCTAGAGGATCATCATTCCAGTCAACACAACCAAAGGAACCACAATTGTTTGTCTCTGTTGAAGAAAGAAAATGGTGAAGAAAGCCCAGGAAATATGTAACCAAAAATATGGTTAACTCAAAACATTTATGAGGACAATGATAAAAATAACAAAGAACAACTCACTTTTACAACAAGGATTAGCAAATGACTTCACTTCACACAGGAAGTCAAATATTTCTTTTTTACAGATTCCAATAATCCTCCAGTTATTGTAAAGATCTGTAATCCCTGATGCCATTGCATAGGATGGGAAGAGAAGGAATATCCAGTCCAACAGATCAGCCACATGCCCAAGGTCAAGGTCAGGAATGCGCAAGATGGTCACTGTGATGAGGGTTGCCATTCCTGAAAAAGCAGTAAGAAATTACCAGATGTTTTTGCACCCACATAATAGAACATAAGGGTACACACATACAGACAGGGTGTAGCAGCATGACCCCAGAATTCACAACTATACAGACACTTCATAAAGAGATATAGACCAATTCAAGTGGTAGATGCATCCCATCTACTACAAGAAAGAGAGAGATAGAAAGAAAGAAAGAAAGAGAGAGAGAGAGAGAGAGAGAGAGAGAGAGAGAGAGAGACAGAGAGAGAGAGAGAGAGAGAAGAGAGAGAAGAGAGAGAGAGAGAGAGAGAGAGAGAGAGAGAGAGAGAGAGAGAGAGAGAGAGGAGAGAGAGAGAGAGAGAGAGAGGAGAGGGAGAGAGAGAGAGAGAGAGAGAGAGAAGAGAGAGAGAATGAGGAGAGAGCAGAGAGAGAGAGAGAGAGAGAGAGAGAGAGAGAGAGAGAGAGAGAGAGAGAG